CCTTACACCACACACAAAAATAGACTCAAAATAGCTGAAAGACCTAAATGTGAGACAGGAATCCATCAAAATCCTACAGGAGAACACAGGCAGCCAACTCTCCGACCTTGGCCACAACAACTTCTTCCTAGACGCGTCTCCAACGGCAAGGGAAACAAAAGCAAACGTAAAGTATTGGGACTTCATCAAGATAAAAAGCTTTTGCACAGCAAAGGAAACAGTAGACAAAGCCAAAGACAACCTCCTGAATGGGAGAAGATATTTGCAAATGTTTTATCAGATAAAGGGCTAGTATTGAAACTCTATAAAGAACTTATCAAACTCAACACCCAAAACCAAAAAATCCAGTCAAGAAATGGGCAGAAGACATGAACAGACATTTCTCCAAAGAAGACATACAAATGACCAACAGACACATGAAAAAATGCTCAACATCACTCGGCATCAGGGAAATACAAATCAAAACCATGATGAATTAGGGCCTCATGCCTGTCAGAATGGCTAAATTTAACACCAGAGGAAACAACAGGTGTTGGTGAGGATATGGAGAAAAGGGGAACCCTCTTACACCGTTGGTGGGAATGCAAACTGGTGTAGCCCCTCTGGAACACAGGTTCCTCGAAAAGTTAAAATTAGAGCTACCCTACAACTCAGCAACTGCACTACTAGGTATTTACCCAAAGGGTACAAAAATACTAATTCAAAGGGATATAGGAACCCCAATGTTTATAGCAACATTATCTACAATAGCTAAATTATGAAAAAAGTCCAAATGCCCATGGACTGATGAATGAATAAAGAAGATGTGTTTGTATATATATATATATACATACAGACAGACACAGACACAATGGAATATTACTCAGCCATCAAAAAAATGAAATCTTTTCATTTACAATGATGTGGATGGGGCGTTTCATGCTAAGTGAAATATGTCAGAGAAAGACAAATACCATTTGATTTCACTTACATAGAATTTAAGAAACAAAACAGATGAACATGGTGGGGGAGAGAGAGAGAGAGGCAAACCATAAAACAGACTCTTAACTGGAGAGAACACACTGAGGGTTGTTGGAGGGAGTTGGGCGGGGATGGACTAGATGGGTGATGAGTATTAAGGAGGGCACTTGTGATGTGTCCTGGGTGTCATATGTAAGTGAAGAATCGCTAAATTGTACTCCTGAAGCCATTATTACACTGCATGTTAACTAACTGGAATTTAAATAAAAACTTAAAACAAACAAACAAACCCACAAGGTGAACAAACCAAAATTAAGTTTACATTTATGTGTTGATTTGTAAGTCTGATGTTTAAAGTGACTAACCGCGGGGAGCCCCATCAATTTAATGAGCCAGGCTACAGGAACCTGGTGACAGCAAGCTCTCTAAATCCACTGACAGCACATCACCGGGGAAGAGGCGTCCAGGAAAGTGCAGTCTTGTCCAGTCCCGCCTCGGACCGCCGGCATGCCCATGATCTGGTTACGATGGTCTGGAGGACAGCAGTGATGGCCCCGTTCCACGCCCAGAGTCACACTGCTGCTGTCACCCTTAACAGCCCTGGTGGGGGTCTGGAAACCAGTGCAGGCAGGATATCTGGGCTTGCAGGAGCATCCTTTCATATCCCTGCGTTCATAATGCCCTTTGTAACATCTCTGGATGTACAGCTCTCCTCCTATCTGGTTACAAACGTGGGTGTGTTTACATCCATCCCTTTTACTCTCAGCCTTCATCAGGCCTACCAAATGTGGAGAAGCCCTCCATCCAAGTCATTTTTCAGAGGTTTGAAAGCCTGTGAATTAAAGCCCTATTATGTTGAGCCACTTAAGTTTACACTGACATTTAAAAACAAAATAACTGTCAAAGCTTTTAAATGCGAAATGGAAATGTTAAGGTTGTTTTATTTTATTTATATTTATTATTATTTTTTTAAACCTTGTTTTGAAACCTCCGCATACAGCGTGAGGCTTTGTGCTTAGGTCGGGCCTGGCTCCATCTCCGAATGGTCCGGAAGCCCCGCGGAGAAAAGCTTTCCGCCACACAGGTTTTCCCCCGCCTTCCCGCTGGATCACCCAGGGGCCGTGTCACCTGCAAGGCACGGAACCCTGCCACATCTCAGCTCTCCCATCGGCGCAAAGAACGAGAGGCTCCTTTCTGGCCTGAAGCATCGATGGGTTTCGGAGAGCTCCTGATAAACATCACATGCCACGTGAAATGTGCTGAAGCCACGTGACACGCTAACGAGCCACAACGGCTTCTTGGCTTTCTCCTTCCCTGGCTGGCACTGACAAAGAGTTCTTCCCACTGGGCCTCCCCGTGCTCACGTCTGTCCAGATGTCGGAAGACATGCCACAGGCTTCCAGCTGCAGTTTGGACTCGGGACCTCCCACACTCCTGAGAACGGCCCGCGGGTGCTTGCCCCCAGTTCCCAGTGGGGCTGTGCAGGCAGCAGAGGGCCTGGTGGGTGAGCGCAGCGGGCTGCATAGACAGTCACGAGGGCACTCGCAGTCAGCCCGAGCCGGAGCGGGGCAACGGGATCCAGCCGAAGTCAGCAACAATCCCATGATGCTGCGGTGGGACCAGGAGGAGGAATACGGCACAAGGCGGAGGCGGTCACCTGCAGCACGGAGCTGAGCTGATCCCCTGCAGTTACCCCCCAGGGAGTGTGCATGCTTGTGCGATTAACTCACTTCCTTGGAAAGTAACTGTTCATTCTTGTCCCTTTCCCTTCTGCACAGAACTTTGCAAGGACAATTTACAGACATGAGGGACTTATATTAGACTCTTTGACTTTCGATTCCACCCATGCCTGGAATACATAATAGGATCATATAGGGGAAAAAAGTTTTTAAAGGAACTAAGACCTCTAAATAATGGAAACTGGCAAAGTCTGTCTTACCTAGTCTCTCCTCTCTGCCTTTAGGTCTCTGCCCGGCAGACTCGGGGGTGGCGGCCTTCCTCGGGGCTACCACTCACCTCCTGAACCAGCATCATACCTCAGTAGATGCCAATGCCTTCTGCTGTGGACCCCAGGGCTTCACTGACCCTGAGACGCCTACAGGGGAGCGTGCACAGCACCACACAGGGGTCACACACAGTCAGGAGTCAAAGCATCAAGGGTAGGCCTCAGCCCAGGAGGGCTGTGGACAAGAGATAAAAGGCACCTCCAGGTCGATCTGGCAGGCAATTCTGAGAGCTCACTCCACGCTGCTCAGAAAGTTCTGGGCACAGCAGCGCTCCAGATGCCCTCTGTCATGACCTTGATAATTCATCCTTATACCGACTTTCCTGCTCCTCTCACTCCTCTGGTCCTTCATTCACACTCTCTGGGATTATTTCCCAAATAACGCAAGCATCAAGCCCTTGTCCTAATTGTTCCTTTAGAGGGAACCAAGTTACAGCAACTGTATCCCTTTATTTAGTCACCAAATATTTATTGAGGACCTACTGTGTGTCAACTATTTGTTGAGGACCTGCTTGAGCCATCAAAGAAGAAAAAGATGTGTCGCCTTGCCCTCCAGAGCTCTCAGTCTAGTGCATAATTAAATGTCACCTACTGAAACAAGGAAGAGATTCACATCCCTAGACGGTGGAAAAGGATTTTATGATCAAAATATTTCAGTGTCAGTTTAAGCCACCTTCTCAAGCTAATTGGTGTCAGGTACCTTCCACCTTCCACACCATGATACTGGATTACCTATGCAAGGTTTGCAAAGTCTAATGACCAACTGACCACCTCTGTAGGTCTTTAAAAGAGGTTGGAGAGGCTGAGAGAGGTAATAGATTATAAGAGCTTTTTTTTTTTTTTCTATGCTGGTGCTTTTATGAGGACTTCTGCCCATGGAGGGGAAGGATGAGAGACACTTTCCCTTCAATTCACATGAAGGAGAGGTGGTGATGCTCTGTCTCCAAGCTCTAAGGACATATCAACCTTTCATGAGATGTCCCCTGGAGCTTGAGGACCAGGTAGACCGGTGTCTGACCCTTGTCTGATTCATGTCCAACTCATCTGTCCTGCCAAGCAAAGAGGTGGGTATTAGGGCAAAGAAGGCACATGGGGTTCTCAGACCTCATGGGGGCCCATGAGACAGAGTGGTGGCTCAAAGTCCTGTCCTGAAGTACCTCCAGGGGACACCAGGAGACCTCAGCATAGAGGTGCCACCTTGTGCCTTGGCCTGACAGGTCTCTAGCCACCAGGCTGCGTCAAGGAATTGCAAAGAGATCCCTAGTAAGAGGGGGTGGATGAGAAGGTAAAGGGCTGTCCAGAGATCTTTCAGTCTGGTCCCCACCTACCTGTGCACCTTCCCTTCCTCCCAGTCTCCTCCTCATGAAGCTCCACCCCCCTCTTTTCTTGCTGCCCTTGGAGCACATCAAGATTGTTCTGCCTCAGGGGCCCCACAGTTGCTCTTCCCTCTGCTTGGAAGGGACTTTCTGGTAGACTTTTGCAAGTTTGGCTCTTCGTCATTACATTTCTGCTCCACTCTCACCTCCTCACAGAGGCTGGCCTTTGCAAGCACCTGGTTAAAATACTTCCCCAGTCTTTGTCATCTTCTTGCCTTTCCCCTCCCTCACTTTTATGAATCATGAGTTTCTGCTCCATGAACTTTAAGCCAAGGGAACAGGCCTATTGAGCCAGCATTCAGATCTAGAGACCTACAACCACGTTGGTAGAGGGGGCCTAGAGCCCTAACCAGAGCCGCTGACACACTGATTTGATTCATGGAGTTTTACACCTCCACCGGCCTAATCCGTAACTCCCAGCCACATGTGGGCACCCTGCCCTTGAACTGTGGCTAGTAACACATGTTAAAACAATCATGTTTTGGACAAACTGAGTAGAATAAATATAGCATTACAATGAATTTCACCTGTGTTTTTACCTTTTCGGTGTGGTTACCAGACCGTTTTAAGTTACCTGTGTGGCTCCCATCGCGTTCCTACTGGGCGGCGCTCTAGACCCTCTTTAGGTTGTCTTTTTCCCTTCTACCAGCGGACTGTAAGCCCCGCGTGGACTCCTGCGGCTGGGTTCAAGGATGCGCCTCCAACGTCGGCGCCTAGTAGGTGCGCGGTCAGGAACTGGCCCGCGAACGGGGGGTCGGTGCGTGAACGAACCTACTCTGCGTGGAGACGGGTCAGCAGGTTGGGACGTGCTGATCCCGGGGGCATCTCCCACCGGGAACCCCGATGCTGCCGCTTGTGCAGCTGGGGCTCCGAGGACGCACCCCCGAGGAAACACCCAGGGAGTGCACCCGAGGTGCGGGAAGAGGGGCGCGGCGCGGAAGAGAAGCACCGGGAGTGGGGGAGGGCCCCCAGGCCCCGCCCCGCCGCGGGACCCAGCCTGGCGTCGCGCGGCCGAGGTTTCCAGGCAACGCGGAACGCGGACGCCCGGCTGCTTGCAGCGGGCAGACTGGGCCCGACATCGGCGGGCGCGAGCCCTCGCTGGGGTGGCATGGAGGACGACGAAGAGGAGGAGCTCACCGCCGCCACGCTGCGGGGCAAGCCCCGGCCGCCGCCCCTCTCGGCGCTGTCCGCCTTCAGCTACATCCCGCCGCGGCGCCTGGACCCCAAGGAGCACAGCTATTATTACC